CCCTTGTGCTTGCCAGGGAAGTGCTTATTCTACTGAGCCATCTCCCTGGTCCCGCAAATATTCTTAACTATATCTGTACTCATTTTTTAAAAAATAGAGAAAGTAATATTTCAATGGAATTACACTCAGTTCAGTTTTCTATTACATAATCTAATAATAACTATTAATAAAATAAATTTTCTCTTCAGAGTAAAGAGCACCTCTTCAAATACCATGCTTTACATTAGAAAGTAAAAATCTGAATGGCCAGCAGACCTATCACTCTATAACTGGAGATAAATCAAGTAGGAAATTACATGATTATAAGAATGAGTTAAAGATTTTAAGAAAGTAAAAGTTTTGTGATAAACCAAGAGATTTCATAGATTATTAGTATTCTGATAATCATAACTTTTGTTTCAATTTAACATTTAGCAAGATTTTATAATCACCATGCTAAGGAATTTTTCATGTTCCTTTTGTTCATTTATGTTCCTTTTTTCCTGAACATATAAAAGAACGTGCCCAGTCTTCCCAGCAGTTTTATTTCTTTGCAAAGACTGACATTCTGATATCAGGTATCAGTCTTACGAATTTGATTTAAGCCTTCTATAGAAAGATAAACTTGAGGGCTGGAGAGATAATTCAACAAGCTAAACACCTGCCTGGCAAGCACAAGGACCCAGGTTGATCCCCGGTTTGGCATGACATGCTGACTCCAAACCCCAGGCATGCTGTGCTGGCCCAAAACTGGGTGTGGTGGCACACACCTATAATCCCAGTGCTGGGGAGGCTGAGACAGGAAGATCACTATGAGTCTGAACTGCATAGTGAGACCCTGTATCAAAAACAAAAAATAAAAGATAAACTTAATTCCAGTGATCTAATTCCAATGGATTTCTGAATCTGACAGCCTAAAGGTGATAATAATTAATTCACCAAGGTAATGAAACGCTACTAAGACTGAGGGACTAGTAGGCCTTTCTCAGATGACTTCCTGGTATCCCTGTATAGTTCCTATTTCTATAGAACGAAGCTCACAGTGAACTACTTGTGGATGAAGGTACAAATTAGAACAGTTTAATACAACCTGAGAACTTGAAGTCTAGGAGATTCCTCAATGGATAAAAGAAGAGAAGCAATATCACTTAGAGATAGGACAAATGAAGAGCAGATCTAAATTGCAAAAAAAAAAAAAAAAAAAAAAGTTACATGGAAGTATCCAAAAGGAAGACATAGTTCTGAAAGATGCTCAGTGAAGTCACATTATGATAACAGATAAAATAACCTATAAAGGAAGCTTTTTTTTTTTTTTTTTTTTTTTTCGGAATTGGGGATTGAACTCATGCCCTTGCGCTTGCCAGGCAAGCATTTATTCTACTGAGCCATCTCCCCAGCCCAAAGGAAGTTTTAAGAGGAAAAAAAGCCTAAAAACAAAATGTTGCATTCAGCCCAACGGGATTATGAAACACAAAACGAAATGAAATAAGCAACGCCAAGTCAGCTTGTACACAATGTTTTATTTGGATGTTAAAAAACGTCAGCATTGTATGCAAGATTCTCTTACAAAGGAAAATTTTCTCATATATCAAAAAACTCAATTTAATCAGGGTAATTGCTGTATTAATGCGAAAACCTTACAAACAAAATGCAGTAGGATATATGTGTAGTCAGTTTCCGTGCAAGTATGGCTGCTACGTGTATGTCTGGCATTTTGTAACATACTGAAAAAAAATTCAAATGAACATAACAGTTTTATAAAAGGTGACTTATGATGCCTGACATGTGTATGATTAAAAATCCTGTAAAAGCAACAAAGCAGTTAACTGGAAGATTCAACCAATACCAACCTAAATATGTACTAGGTCCAATAAGCCCAGGCTTATCCACAATATATTATCACTAGAGATAATTTAATGCTCAAGAAAAAAAAAGCCTAAAAAAAAGGTAACTTTTCCAAGATATTATACTTTGATGACTGGAAACTATGTGCATCCAATCCAGCCAAGGGCTACATAGTTTAAGAACTAAGAAACAAAAGTCATTATGTACTATTAGTTCAGGGTAACTGAAATGATCCAGTCTGATTTTGCCACAATCATTGGTTTCACAAAGTGAAATTTTCTGTGAGAAGTTCATTAATTAGAAAGCAATCAAACATACTTTAAAAATGTGCTAGGAAGATTTAATTGGCTTATTTATCATGAGGCATAATCCTGGTACCAATACATATTCTTTACTTCTCACTAACATACAGTATGCAAAAACTAGCAAGTGGATTTAAATAGTTTAAAACCTTACAGGTCTATTGTTCAAGAGTTAGGCATTAAAATACTTAGTATTTCCATTTCTGTTAACATAAAAACATCAGAAAATCTTAAAAACTTTTTGTTTTATGGCAGACTATTTTGGTATTTGCTAAGAATTTGCTGGTAATGGTTGATTCCACTAAGTTAACTTGAGAACTTGCCGTCATTTGCTTTTTATCTTTTCACACAGTGCAAGTGGTGCTCGCTCTTTCCACCTCTCATAGCAGCAAGCCGATTCTGCTGTCTTTTAGAGCAGCATACTTCAGGAGTGGAGAGGGAGAGAGTGTGTCAATTATAAATAATTCAACTACAGTGTACAATTCTATTTGCCTGTCAGTGTTCAAATTGACAGCACACCATTATAGTCTCAAAAAATTACATAAAATCTCTACGACAAAAGCAAATAAAGACATTTTTTCAAGAAGAAATAAGTGCAAACACCTAAAACAGGCAACTGAAGCAACTGTTGTAACCTGTAAAGAAACAAAAACATTTATAAAAGGACAAAATATTTTTATAAATAAAAGATAATGTTTTCTACTTCTGAAACTTTGAGTAAATATAATAAACTTCTAAGTGCAAGCTATTCGCAGGGACCAAAGTACCATATTATTTTTTAAACAGAATTGAAAAGCTTCAAATACATATATAAATCATCAGATTAATTTATATGACCCCCAGTATAATTTAAAAAGAAAATATTAAATTATTATTTAGTACATTTTTAGAACTATTTTATAACCAACATGATTTAAAGGGTATAGTGCAATATTTAGGTAGATGTGACATACAGTATAGATATTGTATTTGTTGCAGCTATAACTTACTGTTTCATATTTAAAGGTCAAAATTATTCTTCACTATGTTATCTATAATGACAGGAAACAACATTGACTTCTAGACACCCTGTATACAAATAAATATCTACATTTAAGCTTTAAAAATGAAAATAAATTATAAAACAGATTTCCTTCCAATTTACAATCTTTTCCTGCTCCTATATACTATACAATACATTCAACAAAACTCAGCTCTTCTGAGATTTTATGAAGAAAATACTGACTCTTTACTAAGGGGGAAAAATTCCTCTTTTCAATGCTTTTTTAAGTACTAAGCTCAAATAAATACACTTAACACTGTAGTTAATTTTACTGTTTGAACAATACCAAGAATAAGTAGTGCAACTTTCTATTTTTCTTTAGACTCCTCTCACTGTGTTTCGTTGTAAATGGTGTAGCCGAAGTAAACCAGCACAGGGACAAAAAAGTCTGCAAAGCCATGCATGCATTCCATTCATAGATTAATGTCAGAGATCACACATTCTCATATACTTGTCTATAACAAACAAAACTGCAGCCTCAAAGAGGGTAGCAGCATATATCCTGAGAAGAGAACATGTGAATATTTACTTCTGAAGTATTCATGAATATTTTTTCCTATCTGTAAAAATGTTTTACAATCTCATCTCTTAAAAAAAAATAAGCAATGAAATTGCCTGCCTCTTAAGTGGCTTTTTAGCTTTTCTGTCTGATCAAAATGGAAAAAAGATGTAAACTGTTTCAGGGCGATATTAAAACTTTGCAAATAACTGGGGAAAATTTCATTGTAACCTAATTCCATATAGAATACAGTAAAGCAATGGAACATTTCATCCGTTTTAGCAACAATTACAGTATTAGAGCTCTTGAAGTGCTGCTGGTAGCTGTGTAAGTACTCAAATATCTTCTTGCTTGTTCAGTCATGATAAGCTGGTCTTCTGTCTTCCCATAAACTACTGTTTCCCATTCACAATTTGACTAGGAAGGAAATATCAACAGTGACTTGCAAATTACTAAAAAACTGCCCACACTACTTCACTTTAAAAATCAATCACTTTAATCAACTGGGTATTTTATAATTATTGTAAAATGTTTTTGATAATGGCATTGTGTTTCTTTTTTGTTTTTTGCAGTTTAGGGAAGAATCTACAGGGTGTTCAGGGTCTCACTACTAGATCAGACTCGTGGTGATCTTCCTGTTTACAGCCTCCCAAGAGCTGGGATTACAGGTGCGCACCACCACGCCCAGTCTTGTGTTTCTTCTTTAGGAAGAAATAGGTTAGGCATACTAAAATATTTCTGATCATTTTTAAAGTTAGTTATTTTAACTATCTATACCGCTCATAGGCCTTTGGAGACAGTGTAAAAGTTTTGTTCCCCGAAACTCTTCCCAAATCAAATTAAATTCTACTGCTTCAAAATTTTAAAAAAGTTTTAAAGGGAGAGGGGCTGGGCATGGAGCTCAGTAATAGAGAAGTTACCTAGCAGGCAACAAGGCCCTATATAAGCTCTAGCACGACCACTAGAAAAAAAAAGATATAATGTCAAAAAACAGACCAAGAGAGCTTTATGAGTTACAAATTTGAAAATATATTCATTACAAAAGTGAAGTTTGCTTGATTTGTTTTCCTTTTTAAACAGTAAAGATTACTAATTTTATTTTTAAAGATTTTAAATTATTACATGATAGGTATGATTTGCTATATAACAAACTCCCCCCCCCAATTTTATGTTAATTAAACATCAAGAACTTAGAAACATTTTAAGTGAATTAAAAGAATGAGTTACATGGTTCTTTGAAAACACTAGCGTGGGTTAGCTGAGGGGTGACTATATTTGACTGCCAGAGATGTTTCAAGGAACGCTTAAAAACTAGGACTAAACCATCCTCCTGAATTAGCTCTCATATTCTCTTAGATACATCAGTAAAAATTTTTCTAGCATGTCCACCTGTATATTGGCTACATAGCAACATAAAAAAAGGTTGTTTTACAGTTTCCAAGTCAAAAAGTTCTCTGGCAATCATTACATCAACAAAATCATGCTAGAATCACTGCTTCTAACAACTTACCCTTTCAGGATAGAAACTAGAGATGTACATCTGCTAAAGAAAAAGAGATGACAGAAACAGAATTGGGAATCTATAGTCTAAAACAGAAACAGTACTTAAGAAAGCACCAGAAGTTTTAGTTACAACTGCAGTTGATATATACCAAAATCTACTTGTAAGTGAAAAAAATGATGAATGCTTAGTTACTATTATATTTAGCTTCATTTTAAGAGAAAAAAATAGTAAGTATTGTGATAATCATGTCTAAACTGATTATTGAATAAACAATAAAAATTGCTAAAGAAATTTGTAAAATTATATGTGAATATTCTTTTCCAATTTAACAACTTTGGAAGTGTTAGGATTTAGTTTCTTTTTAGTGAATGTATATGTTTTGTTGGCTGAATTTATATCTTGTTTCTCAGGAGTCAAGTTGCACCTACTGTCATGTATTTCCAATAGTGGTATCACTAATAAGGATGTTGTAGGGGCCGGGGAGATGGCTCAGTAGGATAAGCGCTTGACTGGTAAACGCAAGCGTCTGAGTTCAATCCCCAGTTCTGCCAAAAACAAACAAACTCCGAACTCTTAGAATTTGGAGAGTGAATTCTAAAAAAAAATAAGGATGTTGTAAATATATTTTCTGACTAAGAAAAAAAAAAAGGAAAATAACTAATTCAAAAATGGAAACACACAGAGGGACTACTCAGTAAGTGATACTGGAAGCCCTGTTCATTTCCCTCCACAGATTCACCTACCACTAATGAAATTTATGCTAGGGCTGTAAGAGTAAATATTTCTGGAATGAATTAAAGATAAACACTGAAACTTAAAGTTTTGCAAGCTATCATTTTTTTGACACACATAAAAGAGCTGCTCAAGTATTAAATGCAAAGAAGTACACTTTATCGTTGAGTTTTCTCTGAATTCAGAATAATACTAAAGAAAACACTATGAACTTCTAATAAACTAGACATATAATGAGTTAAAAAAAAAAAAAAAAGAAAAAACATTAACTCTCTACCAACCCGCATGTCTGAAATGTCTTCAGTTAGTAGTTGGGTGCCTGGTTCTTCTTTTTCCCAATTATCTAACATTAGTGATTTTCTGACTTTCTTCACGGTAGTATGCTAGAATGAATAATTACAAAGCGTTATAGCCAAATCAACTGGACATAAGGACTTTTAACAATAGTAGTACGAGATTACCTCTTGTTTGCAGCCTTTATAAGCACGTTCATCTTCCTCTTTGAGGAATATGTCAGTTCCAGTTTCTTCTTTCAAAACTTCTCGAATATCTTCCTCCAAAAAGGCAAGTGGCTGGGACTAAATTGTTTTTAAAAACTGTTTTTAAAAAGTTGCTCTGAGACAATTCCTTTTTCTCCCCACATATAGAAAACCAATCTTATATGTATATGTACCAATATTCCATGATGAATACATTATTATGTATTAGAACATGTACTGACAAAACATTTGAAAGAAAAAAATCCTATCTTTTATTATACTTTTCCATTACTAACACAATTTTCTCCTACTCTCTGTAGATATTTAACTAATCAATTTTATGGCAAAATATTTTTTAAAAAATAGTAACTTAATAATGAATCTATCCCAAATAGAATATAATTAAAGTATTCTGGAATTGGCTGGTATTTTCTGTGTGTGTGTGGTCAGTTCAGCCTGCCCAGGGGGCAGGGCTGGCGAGGCATGTGGTGCCAGGATTGAACCATGGTCCCTGAGCTTTGTCTAAGCAGGCACTTTAGACCACTAAGCTATCTCACTGGCCCCTGACTGGTATTTTTAAAATCACATTTGATTTCTAATGAACTCACCAAAAATCTGCATTTGTCTAGAATACCCACTGCTTTCCCAAGGTTTCAAAAGCAACAATATTTACAAAAGCACAAATAACCAGGATACTTCCTAGTTCTAGTCATTCATGAACTCATGCAACCACTAACATAATGATAATAATAATAGCTGGAGATGTGACTCAGTAGAAAAGCATTTACCAAGCATATAGGACGCCCTGCATTCAATCTCCAGCATTAAAAAATAAAACTAGCAGCAACTAAGTGCATACTTCTACTTGAAACTCAGGACAAGTCCCTTCATTTCTATCATCTTCAGTTTCACAATAAAAATGTGGGGTATGTTTTATGATCTCCTTTACATAGAAAATGAAATTGAGCTTTAGGGAAGTACCCTGGTCAATCACCTTCCTAAGCATTAGTAAGTGTTTACATATACCAAAACATAATTATGTTATCCTACTGCAACTACTACCTATCCTACTATAACTGCTACTGAAGCTATTAAAGTACAGATTTTAATATTATGCAAAAGGTTCTTCTCACTACTATTTTGCTTTCTTAAGATTACATAAACAAAAACTCAAAATAAGCCATGCAAAGGTTTATTCACAATAAAGGAAAAAGATTAACAAAATAAAAACTTTAAATAAGCAAAACTGTTTCATATTCAGTGAGCATCTTTTTTCAAAAGCTAAAAATCAAAGTATTAAAAATTGTAGGAAAATGGATGCACCTTGACATCTAATGTTAAGTGAAATAAATCAGACACACAAGCTTAAATATCTAATGGTTTCTCTTCTATGAGAAACTCAAAGTATAAATGATTGAAGAACAAAATAAAAGACAAAACACAGGAAACAGAGAGACAGATTTCCTTTTGTAAAAGGAAAGGGAACCAAGATGACGGGAGAGGTGGAAGGCAGAAAGAGGAAACAGATGAAAAAATATTAAGTGCGGTATGTGCAAACACCAACTTCCCACAGGGAATGTAACCATTATGTATTGCAAACATGCACCAACAAAAATATTAAAAATTAAAAGTAATAAAAATCAATTTATTAAAATTAGGAAGATTCCTTCTTAAAATTTAAAGTGCATACATACCACAATTTTAAGAGGTCCATATTTTTTCTCTTGAGCAGCAAGTGCATTCTTAAAAGGAGTAGGAGTTCTTGGTGTGGTACCCAACATAGATCTTCTAATAGTAGGTGTTCTAAACCTATTCAATCATTTATATATTTATATTAAAGGCACAGTTTAATTTCATATAAGCAAACCTACACCAAGTTAAAGTATAATTAAAATTTTCTGTCATATGTACTTGCTTTATTTAAACATCCTACGGCTACTTTAAAGTGTAGTGGCCCAGGGCAGGGAAATAGCTCAGTGGCTGGCATAAGCACCTGCCTGGAAAAGTACAAAGTCCCAAGTTCTATCTCAGGTACCAAAAACAAAACAAAAACCGAAGTGTGATGGCCCATGATAGCTTTGGCATTACATATATAAAAGGATGGTTGCTTAAATAATTCTTAGTCCAACCAATCACACACACACACTCACACAAACACACACACATACACACACACACATATATAAATTACTTAAAAAGTTGTTTTGCTTGCAACCACAATTTTATAATATTTAGCCATTTTTAGTTTCTTAAGGGTAAAACATGAAGTTTTGACTTTTTTAAAAAAAAGTTCTATCCTATAAGGATTATGATGCATTCCATTTATTTGGAAAAAAAGCTAAGCTACCCCTAACACAACGCTCCCTATCTTCTCTAACACAATTATTTAATACTCACCCTACATTTTCTTTTTGATCTTTGGGAGTTGTTTCTTTCTGAAGAGGAGTTGTAATAAGAACTTTTTGCCCACAAATAGGGGTTGATGTAAATGAAGGATTTTCTATATTAAGTTGTTGATTTCCAGGACATGTATTGAAAAACTGAAAATGAAAGAGAGTTGAGCATTTTTTTAACAAAAAAACCCCTATACAAATATTAAGCTGGCTAGCCAATGATTTCCTCATTTGCTTTAGGAAAAGATTATCAACAATATCATATTCATGCTCTATTTCATAGACAGTAGTATGCCTCATAAGGGCAGGCACTTCCTTTTTCCATTGCTGCTCTGCAGTGCTTAGAATAGTGTTTAGTATAAAACAGGCATGGAAGAAAGTTTTGTTTTTAATGTTCAAAGTTACAAAGGACAGTACAAAAGTTTTAAAACAAAATAGTGTATTCAATTAGAGATGTACACAAACCATAGCTACTGTGTTAACTGGTTAACACACTTGCAGTGCTGTACAAGAGTACAACTGGAATATTTTCAGCTCTATTATTAATTAGTGATCTTAAATGGCCTTTTTATGAGTAATATGAATTCAAAATATAATGCTTGGCAGAGCACAGTGGTAATCTCATCTACTTGGGAGGCTCAGGCAGTAGTGAGGTAGAAGAAATAGGCAAAAAGAAAACAGAGATTCAGTTTTTAGTACCTTAAAACTGTAGATCAGATCTCTGCTCTGCTCTACACTTAGAAATGTTAGTCACTTAGGAAAAGTTGGCAAAAAAGGTTTAAAGCCTTAAATATACCTGGGCAACCTCATTCCCCTTCAGGACTGAGGACACTAAGACAAAAGTGTCTAGTTTCAAGATTTCTAGGGACCTAGATTACTAGCTTTTACAACTTGCAGTTTGACTCCCTAGAACAATGCCTACATATTTGTAGGCATTGTCCTAAACCTATGATCATGTGAGTTCCAGGAAAATCACAAACCAACCATGGTGAGCAATAACAGTGAGGAGGATTTAAGGGATCCTGGCCCATCTCAGCTGTCCCGTAAAAGCTGGCCTTGTGCTTTTGTGCAGGGTCCAGCCTGAACACCTGCATGAGAGGGAAGCTAGCAGTTCAAGCTTTTCCTATATTCTTTCTAACTCTGCCTTGTAAACCCTCCCGTGTCTCATACTGATGCATCCTGAAATTACTTTTCCATGGCCTAATCAGTGAGTACACCTACTCAGCTGGCTAAGTTGAGGCCCCCATCTTCTCTTTGAGATAATCTTCTCAGATCCAATTGGTGACAGGAGGATCATAAGCCTAAGAGTTCAAGGGGCCAGCCTGGGCAATAGAGCAAGAAACCAGTCTAAAACAAAATACAGCAGTAACATTCTACTGATAAGGAAATACAGTGGGCTGGCAAATCTCTCCAAATTTGCCTATCCAAAACACAGCACATAATCTTCTAACAGAAAACACTGATAACGAGTCTGTTTTTAAATTACACAACATCTACACTAAGTCTCAACATATACACAGTTGAAAATACTCATTTATATTGGTAGCCAAGAGATTAGAAGCAGAGGTATGCAGTAGAAATTGGTTAAAGAATGCTGCTTATAACTGGAGTAAATTGCCTCTATCAGTTCCTGCCTCTTAATATTTACACTACTGTAAGATTAGCAATCCAAACCTCTTTTGCACAATAAAACACAAACCCTGCCATGAAATATAAATTTCCAGCCACTTTTAACCTAAGACTTTATACTTCAGTAAAAATCACTAGTGTATAGGAGTCCAGAAATGGAAAACCGTTAGTGTGCCCAAGTCTATTTCATCTTCCCTAAACTGCTTTCTAACCAACTGCTACTAAGGATGCTAGAGATGTAGTTCATCAACATTGAAAAACATATATAAAACAACCTCATACCTGTGAAGGAGAAAATGGTAGTGTTTTCACTGGTGTGTGTTTCAATGCTGTATTAACGCCATCAACAAATAAGCCTTCACCAAGTTCGCTACCTGGGGACTGATTAACTCGCATTTTTCTCTTCTTTCTGAGGATAGTCGGTGGAGTGCTAAACCTGGCTACATTTGGGGATGTTACAGGAACAGCCGCACTGTTTCCATCACAACTGTTTTTCTTTCCTTCAAGTACAAGACTAAACTGACATTCCATGGCTCCTTCATTGTGCTGAATTCGCATTAGCTTAACGGGGGTGGATTTGACAGGAGAAGCAGCAGCATCCGAAAGATCAAAACTGGCTACATCACTCCACGCTACAGGATCCTGTAAGAAATTAAATTCTTAACTAAAGTTAATACTGTAACTAGTTAAACCTGATCCTTGCCACAGGATGAGGAGTTCCACTGAGTTACTTAACTATTCATTGTCAGTAAAGACAGTTTCCCCTGGACCTCTTTTCTAAAGTAATCCATCCAAGAGGAACAAATTATATGCTTCCTAGGATTCTAATTTAGAACATTCCAAAACATTATTTCATCCAACTCAATAGCTGAAACTTACTATCAATGTATTTGATATAAAAATTATTTTAAGTTATCAAAAAATACAATTCAGGGCCAGGGAGATGGCTCAGTAGAATGAGCACTTGCCTGGCCTCAGTTCAATCCCCAGTTCCACCAAAAATAAAAATAAAAATAAAAATAAAAATAAAAAAGTGTAACTAATAAAATTTCATATTCATTTCACATCAGGACAATACTACCAAATGCTACAGACTATTTTGGTAATATGCAGGGAACATATTAAAAATGGTAGTATACATTCTGGAAACTCAATTTAACCTGAGTGTATTTAATCATGAGTTTTCACAATGCTTTATATAAATACCTTTTGTTATTAGTAATGCTGAAAATTTAGATACTACCAACCATCCAATATTAACGGTATGCTCAGTAAATACATTTTCTTACATCCATGTGAATGGAATACTACACAGCCATTAAAATTCAAGTTTAAAAACCAGTTCAGAAAACAAAGCTATATTCATGATGTAAGTGGAAGACAAATTAAATCTACAGACATTTTTGGATTTAAAAGAAACATGTTTTCTACATATATAATGCAGACTGAAATAAATACTTGAAAGTATTAACTCTAAATATAGAGGGACTTTAATTTTCTTCTTCGCAGCTTTCACTAGTTTCCAACATTCTCTGAAACACTTGTATAATGTCAACAAAAGTGAACTGTTTTTAATTGTAAACATTCTTTATAAGGCACGTGTTTGAGAAAAGATTAAAAACTTTCTTTTTACCCAAAACCTATTGCATGGTATTCAAAAGTAGTGCTTAACATAAAATTGATCAGTGTTCTCTAAATTGTATTTCTGAACATAAAAATCATATAACTAAAATCAAGCTTTTGATAACTTCACAATCTCAAACTTACAGATTCAATAAGTTCTAGGGTCTCTGCAAATTCTGGGATGGTCTGCAGAGAAGATAGCACAGTATTTGCCTCTACAGCCAGGAACTTTGTCGGCGAATTCTGCTGCGCAGACACAGTCTGATTTTCATCCATACCGTAAAACTCAGTAGCTTGATCCTCAAGGCTATTTAGAGTATTAGACATACTATCATCCATGAGAAAACTACCCGACCAGGCAGCTAAGTTTCCAAGTTGCTGAAGGTACAAAAAAAAATTGAATATTTGTCATTCTCAATGGAGGTATAAATTCAGATTTTAAGTGAAAGTTTTCTCTAGAACAAGTTACTTAATATTTCAGCCAAAAATATAGAACAAATATAGTTTTTCCTCAAAGTTGGTATGTTTTGATTGAATGCCACATGTTGACTATACTTTTATATTTTCTAATTAAATTTTTATTCACAAAATGCATTATCACAAAAATGCACTAATAACAAATAACATTTTAAAAAAATCATTGTGAGCTAAAACAAGCAAATAACAAAGTGTAACACTTCCACTCACAGCCCTGCTCCCAGGAAATACTTAACTATAGTACTTGTACTTCCCTAATGAATAAAGCTCTTTTATCCTGGAGTTCCTCTGCAAGTACTGCTGGTCCCTTTATTTAAAATGTTCCCTAATTTACTGAACAAAGAAATGTTCAGTACTCCAACAACTGAAAAGTACTCCAACATATTTTCTCTGCTCCATTTATAATAATGTCCTTAATTATCTTACTCATATATAATCATGCTGCTTTACTTAACTGAGTTCAAACAGTATTTCTTCTAGGAAACCCAACCCTGACTGCATAAATCTAAATTAGGCACCTCTCTTTTGTGCTTTCATAAAACTTTTTGGTTTATCACACTATACCTGTTTCTTGTATGTTCCCATTGTAGAATAAATCCCGTCATTTATCTTTAGAGATGTGCACTGAGCAATTTACTTGTGAACCTAGCTTCCTATTGTTTTGATGGTCAATTTTTTTTGTTTGTTTGGTACTGGGATTTGGACTCAAGACTTTGCACTTGCCAGGCACTATGCTTGTCAGGCAGGCGCTGTGCTGCTGAGCTATATCCCCAGCCCCTAGCTTCCTACTATCTTACAATAAAAAATAAGACAAGATAACTTAAAGAGTTATGAATGAAAAATTAACATGCAAAGCATATAGCACTATTCAGTAGAATTTCTTGAAATCATGAAAATGTTGTATATCTGCAGCTACAACATATGGGAACCAGCAGCCATGAATAAGCAAAATATGGCTGGTACAATTGAAAACACTGAATTTTAAATTTTATTTCACATTAAATGTGCCTAGTAGCTACCATATTTTAGAGCACATTGCCCATTCCATAGGAAGAACTCAAAACATGATTTCCATTCCTATTAAAGTAAAATGCTAAAATGTGTTAATGATTCACAACAACAAAATAGGAAGTTTTAAATAAAGTAAAAAAAAAAAAATCATTGCAAAACAAGTTACCTGTTTTAAAGACCTCTAAAAATAGGAGCCGGGGAGATAGCTCAGTGGCATAAATGCCTGCCTAGCAAGCATAAGGTCCTGAGTTCGATCCCTGGTACCAAAATAAGTAAATAAATTTGATTTGAAACAATCTTATTTCATTAGCAGAACTACATTCTGAATTAATCACTTTCAAGACATAGTTTCCAAATCATATGCTTTTCAATTGAATTTGCATACGAGAAAAAAAATCCAAAAGAGGCAGGTCAATGGACCCAACAGAAAAACTAAAGGGTTATAATCATACAGAATTAAATCTGATCTCTAGCAAAATTTCAAGTTCACAGAATTAATACAAAGACTACCATGACTATATATAAAACAGCAAGAGAATATAATGGATACTCAGTAAAATGATGATCATTACTATCACATAAATTTTTAAAAGAATATATATGTATGGAATCTATATTAATACAGCAACTTCCCTCTAAAATTTGAAATATCTTTATTCAATCAGACATTTTTTTATTCAACCAGATTTAAGAGTGCAGCTTAGATATCAAATTCTAAAAAATTAATAATTCTCCCTTTTTAATACAAAATGCTGTTTTAACTAGTTATATTTTTCTTGTTAAATTAAGATTTCCATTTAAAAAAGAAAAAATTATTTAAATATAACTCTCTACAAATGTGGGCTCTGTAATCATAACTATTTGTAGCTTCTTAACTAGCTCTTCCCTACTGCCAATGGTTTCTGCAATTTCAAAACAAAAACTGATTATCGCTATCCTGTAGCATATATGTCACCTGTTACAATTAACAAATGTCATTTTTTAAATATCCTCTTAAGTAATATAAAGACATCACCAGTTGCCTCACAATACTATTTTAAGATCTCGGGCTACCCTATCTTACTGATGTGGTTTGAGTTCCCAGGCAATCTCCATGTAGGGCCCACTCACTCATTCAGCTTCAATCCAAGAAAAACCTTTCTGAACATAAAAAGGTCAACGTATCATTTAAAAAATTAAAACTATCTTTCAAATATAAATGTTTAAAAAATGCTACTAGAATGATTACTATTCAATCTAATATTCCCAGTTATTCTCATTAATTGCATCTCGGTTTTCATACTTGCTAACCAAAACCCAACATTCATATAAAATTTATTCTTTTGAAGGATTTTTTAGCAAGCACAGAAATCTAAATATTCCCTTTCTATGTATTTTTAATGTTACTACTTTTTCCAAATGTACTAAATTCATATTTTTTTATTTTTCAATATATTTAGTACAAGGTCTACAGGGTCTCACTACACAGATTGGCCTCATAGTGATCCTCCTGTTTTTAGCCTCCCAAGCGCTGGGATTACAGGAGCATACCACCACGCCCAGTCTCAGCATGCCCCGGAGGCAGGGCTGGCATGGCATGCCGAATATCAAGCCCCAATCCCTGCCCTCTGCCTAAGCAGGCACTTTAATCAGCTGAACTATTTGGCTAGCCCTACATTCATATTCTAAATATAGTAAATAAGAAAAAATTTTCAAATAAAAATAATTTTGAAGCTAATAAATCTCTCTTCCTGCCAGATGTGGTGGCCTGTGCCAGTAATTCTAGCACTCTGGGAGGCTGAGACTGGAGGATTTCAAGTCTTACCCCAGGCTGGGCAACTTAGCAAGAACCTATCTCAAAAATAAAATGGATTGGGGAATGTTACCCAGTGGGAGCACCCTCAGTTCAATCCCCAGTACCACAATAAGTAAATAATCTCTACATCTATTTAATTCTTAATTTTACAAGCTTTTTCTATTATGCTACAATATGTGGAATGTCTGAAATGAAATCAAGACAATGTAAACCACACACAATTTTCATATACATAGGTAGATAGATTTTACCCTATGTCTGCTTGACATTTACAACTCAAGATGTACTCTAAACAAAGAGTTATCCTAATACAAAACACTGTAAAATATGCTAAAATAAAAACATCAAAATCAGACAACTTCCAAATTGAAAACTAAAAAAAAAAAGCTACTTTTACTCCATATTACAATGTGAAGTCATATTCAGTATGCTTTATAGCTGATGAAAAGTATAGAAGCATATATATGAAGGAAACACTACATAATCTTATTTCTTACAGATGGAAGTCGTTTTCTTCTAACTTCATTCTCAGCTGACATAAGAAGTAACTCAAGTTCCTTTATTTTCTTTTCCTTATCAGGGTCTTCATCAACAAAAGATGGCTACAATAAATTAAATAAAAAGAGAAAAATTGGCCCTTACACATTGATTTATAATTAGTGTTCTCATATTTTTTTCTTTCTTTCTTTCTTTTTTTTTTGTATTTTAGGGAAAGGTCTACAGGGTATTCAAGGTCTCACTACTAAATCGGACTCGTAGTGATACACCTGTTTACAGCCTCCCAAGTGCTGGGATTACAGGCATGTGCCACCATGCCCAGTCTCAATTGCCATCTCAGCGAGCCCCAGGGGCAGGCCACACAGCAGGCCTGGGGATCGAACCCCAAGCCCCTGAGCCTACTTGCTGGTGCTTTAATCCACTGAGCTATTTGGCTAGCCCAATATTTTTATTTTCTATGCAACCTAAAATATATTTCCCTTAATAAAACAATACTATATACTTCCTAATAGTCAATATAACACAAGTCCCCTGGTATCTAAAGATGCACCAGAAAATATTTCCAATTTAGCAGAAAAGATGCAACATTTAAATGCTTTAAAAACATACTGTATTATCTGTATCAGCTGAAAAATTCATGAAGGAAATATTTTAGTTTTACTGAATTGTAATATACACATTTTATTCAATTTAGCAAATACATGATAGAAGAATGGAAACTTAGCAAACTAGTGTTGTCAATTAATTTATATTTGCAGCTTATTTTTTAAACCCACTTACTTTTTCCTTCAATATTCAAAGTAAACAAAACTTTTGTTTAGTACATGAGGAAAAGTTCACTACTTGACTTGAAAAAAATCTTTGAAAGCATTCCATTTGTCTTATGTTACAAATAAAAGTTACCTGAAGAAAGGTAGAAGTCTGAATATGTTCTACACAATTGCCTTCAGGTGAGACATACTGATAACCAGGGATCTAAAAAGGACAGTAATTAACACATTACTATTACACATAACACCATCCAAATTTTAAAAATCTGAGGCAAATTGCAAAACCTTGTGATGTCACCATTACAGCCTAAAGCATCTCTAGTAATTTTAAAATTTCATGCTTATGAAACATTTCCTATCTCCTAACTATTCCTAGCATTTATGGATAAGCCATAGCTTTTAGGAAAAACCCTTCAATTTCTATTAAATAAAATAGAATTACTTAGCTTAGTTTTGTCAGCCAGTCTACCTATTATCAACATTATCCACCAAATATTAAAAATTTGGTATATAAAGGTTGCTTTCTCCTAAAAAAGACAACATAACTGTGCTCCTCTCTGACACAGGAAAGTATTCATGCATATGAAGCTCTTACAAAAGATAGAGACGGAAGCAAGTTTATTAACTCCAAATCCTGCTACCACTCCATGCCAACCTGAGTAAGGTAGGATAACATGGACTTTTCTATCATTCATTTAGCAAAAACAATTAGAATCACTCAAGATTAGATACATGTACGGAACAGACACTCTGACAGAAAAGTAGCTAGCATTCTGCTTCATCTATAAAACATCCATAATAAGAACCGTGAGGCTGTGTGGGAATTGAGGGAGCAGTGCTAAGAAATGAAAAGGTATTTTAAAAAACCCTTAATATGAAATCGTCTACCTGTTATAATGGCCTACAGAAGTCATTAGCTGATGCAAAATCATTCTACATAACTTCTTACATAGAATGTACCTTTTACGGTACTCAATTAATATCAACTCAGCTTGGTAAATCAAATGAGCTAAAATTTATCTTTCTCCTTTTTTTATGTATTTGATACAGGGTTTCGCTACACAGCTCAGACTTCAGTGATCTTCCTGTTTCAGCCTCCCCAGAGCTGGGATTACAGGCATGTGCCATCACACCTGGTCTCAGGGACCAGCTCAGAGTGTTGGTGGGGGGGCAGCACAGCATGTGGTGCTGGGGATCGAACCCTGGTCTCCATGCTTGCCTAAGCAGGCACTTAGTCCACTGAGCTATCACGCCGGCCCTTTCTCAAACTTTCAACGAAAATCTGTGATAGTACTTCAAACCAATCTAACTTATCCTTCAAGTCACACTTTATGATAAAATTAAAATTATTTTAGTAGTATTTATAGTTCAATTAATTTAGAAATTAGCTGAATTATAAATATATAAATCTTTTTTAAATTATTGAAAAGGATGGGGCTGGGGATATAGCTCAGTAGAATAAGAGCTTGCCTAGCAAGTGCAAGGGCCTAAGTTCAATCCCTGGTTCCACCAAAAACAAAAAACAAATTATTGAAAAGGAAACAATTTTTAAAGTATGAGAAATATCCTTATCTTTCTAACATATTTTGATTGAGATAGGCATTCCTTTGGCCTCAAATAATTCTGAAAATTATTTTTCTGTAGATTAAAAAAATTTAATTGATAACCTAAAATAGAAGCAGAATGCTTCAGCTTATGCTGTTGAACCATAGGACTCCAAAGAACAAATGTAACAAAAGACAATAAAATCTTCAGTACCAGCAGCAGATAATTATGCTATCTTCATGTTTCCTATACGCAAATTAAAATGTCACTTTTTTGTTTGGTTTTTGTTTTTTTTGAGACAGGGTCTCTATAGTGCAGGCTGGCCTCAAATTCATGGTGATCCTCCTTCTTCCACCTCCCAAGTGCTGGGATGAGAGGTGTGTGTCACAACGCCCAGCTGTTGATATATATTTTTTGACACTGTTTTAAAAGAGCCACTTAAAAATAATGACATTTTGGCTGGGTGCGGTCACACACACCTGTCATCCCGCCACTCAGGAGGCTGAGGCAGGACAGTTGCCATGAGTTTGCAGCCAACCTGAGCTACAAAGTAAGTCTGAGGCCAGCCTGAACTGCATTGTGAAACCCTGTGTCAAAAAGACAGAAATAAAGAAAACGAAAACAATCTAAAAGCTTATTAACATCCATAATATGTAGAATGTAGAATAAAATCAAGCTTGAAGCATAGTGAGCACAGATTTTTAGCAAGCCCAATTTAATCTTTGGTAGACACAATTTAGTCCTGACTTAATTTTTACATTTTATATGAGAAGAACAAAGAACTACTCATCATAAAAAAATGGCATGATAGAACAGGTATACAAGATAAATATTATGAATACTCCTAAACTAACTGCTTGCAGATAGGAAAATGCATGATAAAGAACAGAACACTGCCTCATTTTGAGCTTCTGTAATCTCTAACGACTGTTTAAACAAAGACTGAGATCACCTAAGTGACTATCACAAGGGAAAGCAAAGCTGAATGACATCAAAACAAAATATTTACTACATCCCAAAATAATGGCTGGAATGATTCTTTTTACTATTTTCTCCTTTAATCCATTTTTTAAATACACTTATATGAGTTACACACCTAGTTACACAGTACACTTTAAAAACTGAAACTATAATAGAGGTGAAAGCACAAATTAACTGAATCATTAATGAAGATGAAAAGAATGAGTATCATGACACATACATATACTGTCTCTTAATGTAAAAAGCACATTAAAAGGAAATATCTTCATGATTGTATTCTCAAGCTATTTGCAAAACTTGAGTATTTTTTCAGTTTGTAAATGTCTACTGCCTATCCCCTAAAGCTTTTATTGTCTTATTAAGAAACCATTTTCCCATCTAGCAACTAAAGAGGTTTGTAAATTAATAAAGGTATTAAAAATATGTGCCTGAACAGGTATGTAAAACTGATTCTGGGTTTGCAAATGGTCCATAGTCGCACAAGGTTTGTGTTGAAGTTTTGATGAGGAGCGTTCTGATTTTATTCCATCTTGTAAGTAGCCCTCCTGTTCCACTTTTCTCCGCATTGTAGAATTCCAATGGTTTTTGATGGAATTATCAGTCCTAAGAGATGAAAGTATATGATTTAAAAAAGAAAAGAAGAATCCACACATTTTAATATTGTGTAACTTACACAAAGTGCTGAAAGCAATGTTTTTTGGGCATGGGGTGGGGGAGATACTGGGAATTAAACTTAGGCCTTTGTACTTGCCAGGCAAACTCTGTGCCACTGAGCTGCATCCCTGGCTGAAAACAAGTGTTTTAACTGATGAAATGAGATACTTTATAAGTCAGGCTTAGTGCTATAAGCACTCAGACGCTATGGACAGTAAGATGAGGAAGGTCCCTACTCTCTTGGGGCTTAGTCTGTTTGCACGTCTCGCAGCTGAGAGGGAAGAACAAAAAACCAAAGAAATGGACATTAAAAAATTAGTACAATGCAGATAGTTACAGCAGAGTGAGAAAAGTGGGTAACTGGGGTATTTCTCATTAGACAGCCAGTAAATCCTCTGTGAGATGACAGTGAAGTTAAGACCAAAGAGAGAAGAATGGCAACCCACACAAGAACAGAAGAATAGAGCACTGCAAGCACACAGCGCAGGAAGGGTGAAGGCCTTAAGATAGGAGCAAACATGACTGAAAAGGAAACAAGTCAGAGAATCCCAACGTTCTTTTATTCACTTCTTAACACAAAGTATTCATAGAGAGTTCATGTCATAAAAATGTAAATCCTTAGTGTATACCTATTTGTAATTTTAATTCCACCTACATAAAATATGCATTTTACTGAAAACCTAATTTATGCTGATGTACTAAGCTCAGTTCTTGGGAAAGTGAAAAGATATACACACAACCAAAAACACGTGAAGTTCGCAGTCTGGTGTTTTTAAAAATTTAACACCATGCCTTAATTTCTCCATCTGTAAAAGACAGTAATGTTTGCTCTGGATATTTCCCAAGTATACAAAGATGAAAAATACATGAAGCTGGACATATGGCAAATGCTTATCACTCTAGCATTTTGACAGGGTGAGGCAGGACTGCAAGTTTGAGCCCAGCCTCAGCAGCTTAGTGACATAGCTGAAACTTTGTCTCAAAATAAAATATTAAAAAGGTTGTAGCTTGGCAAGGTGGTACACATCCGTACTCCTAACGCTTAGCAAGCTGAGACAGGAGAACTGCCACAAAGTTCAAGGCCAACCTTGGCTACAGAGTTAAGGCCAGCCTGAGCTACACAGTAAGACCTAGTCTCAAAAAAAATAATAAATAAAAGAGTGGGGGTTATAGCTGTAGGTGTAGCTTAGTGCAAGGTTCCTGGGCTAAATCCCTAGAACCACAAATAAAAATGCACAAGCAATTTATACACCATAAATTATTGTATAAACACACTAAAACTTGAGTGGGTAACCTCTGAGTAAGGTATGAAGTTCCCAAGGATGGGCGGATATGCTAGATTATCAAGAAACTTTTGAACCGGAGCAATGTAGACTATTAGCACGTTACTGCCTCTGAAGGGAATGCAGTATTTTAGTTACATGCAAATACAATACTCCTATGACTTTTTTGTGTGTGTGTGCAGGGTCTCACTATGCAGCTCAGACTCGTAGTAATCCTTTTGTTTTCAGCCTTCATAGTGCTGGGATTACAGGCAGGCACCACCATGCCCGGACTATGCCTATGATTTTAATTCATACAATAATTAAGAACTGAATTTTCCTAACATATTTTCATAGCAGTATAGACTGGAAATACTGTGTTTAACATATAAAGTAAATAAAAGGGAAATATTTTAATGAGTGTGTTCCCAAAATATTTGTGTAATTTGTATTTATTTTACGTAAAATTGCCAGACAGTTACTTCCAGCCCACTTTATTGAAACCAGTGATTTTTTTTTTTTTAACGTATTTAACAGGGTCTACAGGGTCTACAGGGTGTCGCTACACAGATCAGACTCTTAGTGATCCTCCTGTCTTTCAGCCTCCCAAGTGCTGGAAGTACAGGAGTGAGCCAGCTCACTGTCTCAATCACGCTGCCTCAGCGCACCCCCAGGGATGGAATCAACCAGCGAGTTTGTAGTTCTCTGCCTTTATGCATAATAATCCTAAACAGAGCAACTGTTGATTAATTATATATTTAGTACAGGGTCTACAGGACCTCACTACACAGATCAGAGTTGTAGTGATCCTCCTGTTTTCAGGCTCCCAAGTGCTAGGATTACAGGTGCGCACCACCATGCCCAGTCTCAGTCACTGTCTCTGCATGTCCCATGGGTGGGACCAGCGTGGCATGCCAGGGATTGAACCCCAGTCCTGAGTCTGCCTAAACAGATGCTTTAATCCACTGAGCTATCTGGTCAACCTTAGAAAATACTGCTTTAGATTGCATTTGTACAAAGAGGATCTACTAACTGGCAAGAATATGTTAGCATAGTTTGGGGAGTATATTAAATGCTTCTATAACCTAAACATTTTATAATTACTGTATTGTCCAAATTATTGCTGTACCTCATTTAAAAAGTAATTATACTCCTTACCATAGAATTTATTACAGATGTTCCAAACAGATGCTTGCATTATGCAGTCAAAATTTTAATTATAAATAAAAGGCATGGGGTGCTTACAAATATATTTAATAGTAAGGTAATAAAGAAAATGATTAAATACAAAAGCATATATACATTTATATAAGCACCTTCCAGGAAGTAGCTTGGCAATTTCTGCCCAACGATTTCCCAACCGCTTATGTGCTTCATAGATGATCCTGTCTTCTTCTTCTGTCCACGAAGATTTCTTTACTTCAGGATTCAGATGATTATGCCATCTTTCTCTACACTGCTTGCCTATTCTTCCTTTTAAATGTTTTGCAATTAAAGACCACCTTTTTGGTCCATATTTCTGAACTAATTCAATAACCTAAGAAGCAAAAACAAAGTTTGAAAAATTGTTACCTTGTTTAAAACATAACTCAAGAATGCTGGGACTAGAAATAGCACCTGCAGTAGAACAATTGCCTAGCATGCGTGAGTCTCGTGCCTAAGTCCCCAGCACAGAAAAAACAAAAAACAAAACCACAAAAAGTTAAGATGTCAATTTAAATAAATACATTAAATTTAACCAAAACTGTATACAGTGTACCAAAAACAATTTTACCAATAAATAATCATTCAGCATTTGACCAGTCAAAAACTGACTCCCAATTTATCTATAACCCAAAGGGCTACAATGACTTGCAAGTTAAAATGTTTTCATACAAAATACTATAAAATAATAGTAAAAGTATTCACATTCTACTCTTATACTTTAAAAAAGAAAAAAATATATATAGCTTCATCAGAAAGCTAAATAAATAAATCTGGAAGCATGTTGTCCACAATAACTGGCTTTTCATTTCTTCCTTTCTTATACTGAAAAAAACATACTCTTTTTTCTACAGTTTAAATCTTTTTTTTTTTTTTTTTTTTTGGCCCCCTCAGCCCCCAAGGGCACTGCTGGGGTGATATGTGGTGCCGGAGATCAAACCACGGTCCCCTGCGCATACCTAAGCTTGCCTAAGCAGGTGCTTTAGACCACTGAGCTATCTCATCAGCCCTACAGTTTAAATCTTTATTTCAGTTAAAATTGCAAGTTATTCCTAGTCAAGGAGATGCAGGGTTGCGGAAGCCATGTTCTTCTCCACGGTCTCCTTTGCCAAGCTCTTCTGGTGAAGATGGTGAGCCAGGCTGGGACAGGTATTTTCTTAAATGCCAGGAGAGGCTGAGTCCAGGAGAAACTAACTCGTTTGCACTATGATCCAATTGTGGGGAAAAAAAAAAGTCCTTTTTGTAAAACAGAAAAAAAAATGTTTTCTCTAAATGATGGATTGAAAATGAATTTGATTTATAAATGAGAAGACTTGAGGGCGGGATTCTGATTCAGAAACCCCACAGCTTTTAGTAAAAAAGAGGAAAGGCAAGGCATCAACTGCCTCCTGTGAGCTGAAGGCCACTGTGAAAGGGAACAAGGTGGTGAAAGAAAGTCCTTTGTATTAGGACAAATATCATTGTGTCACATTCATTTTTCTGAATATTTTTATAATCCTTAATAGCCCATACTACTGTCTATAGATATTTATTCCTACCCTACTTTAGTTCACTGTCACTTTGCCTCACTGTTATGAGGCAATATTACACAGTAGATATTTTGTATTGATGGAATATTTAAATTTATTATATAGCAATATTTTTACTACATGTGCATAACTGCTATGTTTAAAAATAAAATTTCAGGATTAAAGGTACTTTTAATGAGGTCACACACCTTAAAACATTATCATCAGCCACCAAGTAAATCACATCATACTGAGTCTAGAAAAGTAACTTTAAGAATGACTTCTTACATACAAAATCATCAAGTGTAAAAATAAAATTAAACTGTTTTAATATGTTAATGCAAATTTTGGTATACATTCTGCCAAAGCAAGCACTATTAATGCAACTGTTGATAGAAAAGTATAATGAATATGGCTAAATCAAGCTTTATAGTTAAACCAATGCTTTAGAGCAAGCATTTTCTGTTCTGCAAATCACTGTGATTCCACAGTGATTATATTTTATACTTGGCTTGACTCATTTCAGAAAAAAACTACATAATTTTTTTGTATTTTAGGGAAGGGTCTACAAGGTGTTCAGGGTCTCACTACCAGATCAGACTCATGATGATCCACCTGTTTACAGCCTCCCAAGAGCTGGGATTACTGGCCTGCATCACCATGCCCAGTTTCAATTGCTGCCTCAGCGATGGGGCCAGTATAGCAGGCTGGGGGATCGAACTCATAGCCCCTGCACCTGCTTGCAAATGCTTTAATCCTCTGAGCTATTTGGCCAGCCCTAAAAACACTACATCTTAAGATCAACATTCAGCCTGTCATTCTGGTCTTCTAATTACATACTGCTTCTCATGACATACCAATTATGGCCATACTGTCTCTCAAGTAAAGGTTTAAAAAAAAGAAAAAAAAAAAAAAGGGTAATAAATGAAAACATGAGACAAAAAAATTCACAGGACTATCCTGCTACAAGGCAGGATATTGTTAGATTTCTAAACTTCTATGTAAAAATATGTAAATGCTTATTTTAATTTTTTTTAATTTTTTTTATCTTTTTAATCTTTTTTCTTCATATTCTGGAGG